CAGCATAACAAACTTGAATATTTGCTGGTTTGAGTTTTGGAGGCGGCTCACATAAAACAGGACGTCTGAACGTCAACTTTAGGGACTGACTTTATGTTCCAAAAAACAAACAATTTAATTTCTCAGTTCTCAAATGATTAAACCGGCTGATTATGTGATATTATATATAAAAAATAAGTGGTTAGCTGCAGCCCTGGTAGCAGAACTTATAAAGCTTGATGTTGGACCGTCATGTTTATTTTTTGTGAACCACTCGATCACAGTTTGTCTGCCGTTTTTTTTTTTTTTGGAGATGAAACGCACGCCTACTGCTGCTCATCATTCTTCCCGTTCCCTCAGGTGGTCATAAACTTGGGCATGCTGATGAAGGAGGTGGAGCTCCGCGGCTCGCCCTCCCTCGCCATGATCCTCGTCAACAGTTTCCAGCTGCTGTACGTGGCCGACGCTCTGTGGAACGAGGTGAGGAGGAGGCAGGACGGTTTAAACATGTGGGAGCAGCTTTCTACTTTTAACCACTATTATTTAATTTCTTGCTTCGCCGTGTTTCAACAGGAGGCAGTTCTGACCACCATGGACATCGTGCACGACGGCTTTGGGTTCATGCTGGTGTTCGGTGACCTGGCCTGGGTTCCCTTCACGTACGGCCTGCAGGCGGCCTTCCTGGTCGTGCACCCGCAGACTCTGACTTCGCTCAAAGCCGCGGCTATAGTAGCGCTAAACGGTGATCATCTCTTTCATTAGGCTGCGAAATGTTTTGTTTCGGGGCTGAGTGTGACTGATGAACTTTTCTCCGTTTGCCGACAGGTGCTGGATATTACATTTTCAGGAAATCCAACTCCCAGAAGAACCAGTTCAGGCGAGACCCTTCTCATCCAAGTGTTGCGAGTAAGTCAAATTCTCTCTCAATCATTACAAATGCACTCAAATATACTCTTTCACATTTTATTTCTAGTAATATATTTCAGCTTAAGGAAGTTCTGTCAGGTGGGGAGTTGATCCAGGAAGCAGTTTTTTAAAAAATGATCTGCGTTCTCCCCTTACAGGACTGGAGACCATCGCCACAGCAACAGGGAAGCGGCTGCTGGTGTCCGGCTGGTGGGGTTTCGTCCGTCATCCTAATTACCTCGGTGACCTCCTCATGGCCCTGGCCTGGTCCCTGCCATGTGGTAAGACAGCCTAAAAGCCCGACGCTGGCCTTGTTTAGCAAGCAGGTCACAGCAATGTGACAGTCACGGAAAGCCTTGATTAGAAAATGTGGATGAAGTCACAGATAAGAGA